GGCACCATCAGCTTTCTTCACCACCTTTGCTTATGTTCACATTTTTCTTCAGCAATCGTGTCTGGAAGGTGTGCATCCTGGAATGTCAATTTAAAAGAACAATGTGTTCTTGCAATGAGTCAGTGCTTGAGTGGAGGCCCAAGGTCCATCTGCTGCCTTAATACTAAACCTATAGATATATGCACGTAGATCTGTTTCCCCACACTCTTATATAAATATATTTACATATGTACATTCCAGTCTTAAAACCTCTACACATACCCTTTGTCCTCTAGTTCTTTCCTCTATTTCCCTTTACTTTCCTCTTGTCCCACTATCATGCTCAGCCTTCATTTGGGTTTCAGTGATTTCTCTCGCTTACATTGCCCTTGCTGAATCCCTACGAGGCCTGTTTTTCATTAGTTACTTTGTTATCTTCTCCGGTCACAACATAAGAGGTAAGCGAAAACTAGTAGGAAGAAAGCACTTGCAAGTTTCGGGTCAAAAAGAATAATTTGTTTTATAAATACATTAAATAAAATAAATGTTTATGTAAGAGCAATTATACCGCTTTAATTATCCTATCCATATTCCTGAATCCTCACTTCAAAATATACATATAACAAAATTTGTAAACATTATGTGGCCCGTGTGAATCTTGCCTGTTGCACCAAATGGCCTGCGTTTTAATTGAGTTTGACACCCCTGTCCTAGACAGTCATAGATTCATTTCAAACAACTTTTCGGTTATTCATAACCCAAACAAAATAAAATCTTGAACTCTTTTGGGAATCCAATATTCCCAGAGCCCAGGTTCACAATGGAAACACTTTCACAATTTTTTACTGTGACCCTGGGTAAATTACTTTCCTTGTGCATAAATTAGGAACATACAGTATGTAGATGGCGTAGTGGGTTACCAGAAGGCTTGCAGTTTGAACCCACCAGCAACTCTGTAGGAGAAAGATGGGGCTTTCTGCTCCAGTGGAGATTTATCGCCTTAGAAACCTACAGGAGCAGTTCTACTCTGTACTAAAGGGTCCCTTATCAGAAAATTCTCAATAATAGCACATAGTACATGGCTCACAAAATTCTTAAAAAGAATAAATGAAATGACATTTTACAGAGCACTTGGAACTGTCATGTCTCAACAGAAGAAACCACAAGTATTACTCTCTGGTCCATTTTACTTTATGGCAACTAAAAGAGAAATTTTAGTTACCGTTACTTTTTTCTTTCCTTGAGTACTAAACCAAAACAAATAATGGGGAAAAGGCAGCAACAATGGGAAAAGGTGGCTTCTATTGCCAGCTGATGGTCATCTTTAAATAACAAATGTCCTTAAAATATTAACTCCAAGTTAAATAAGCTACCCCCACTGGTTAAATCTTGTCTTTTACCTGCAAATTCATTGAAATGATTCCCAATATCATATGCCAGGTAGTTATATCCAGAATATTCATAATCAATGAACTGTACATCACCTATGTGAGACACAAAAACAAAGACATAAGAAATCATACATAAAATCAGAAAATCCCTATACTATTTGTAATTAAATAGCTTCCAATACACTGTCTCATTGTACGTGCTTGGGCTACATGCACTTCTGAGACAATAAGGATAAGGCTGTGAATTTTATGGCAATGAGCTTTACAAAATTAAAATTATGCATATTGGTCAACAGCTTCTTTATAAACATTAGTGCCCACTATATCAAAGAAAAATCAAAGTATGTCATTCTCAAACTTGAAGCAAAATATGTTTTCACCACATGGGGGCATCAGTTACTTAAAATTTCAAGGTTAACTAGAAATGAAAATCTCTTTGAAAAAAGTTAGTACATACTTCCATTTAAACAAAGAATTTACCTATGATATTCCAAGAGTGAACTGACAAACTTATCTATATGTGGAAATCAAATGTAAAGTGCGAGAAGCTTAAAAATACTTATATTTAAAACTGAAATTCTTCAAACCTTCAATTATGTACCTTGCAGTTAGGCTGCAAGAACATTGCTGACCAACTTTAATCAGTATTTTAAGTGCTGAGATATTAGCTGCATTCACACTCAGCCTTTCCTGAAGCGCTAGGAGCTAACATTTCCAACAGCATACTCGGACAGTATGAAGGTGGCTAGCTTAGCTTTTATCTTTTTAACAAACAAAGGTATGGTTTCTAATGGTTTTAATTTGAGAACATTTTATATTAATGAAATTGATTCCTACTCTAGGCTACATATGTGTTTAATTATAATTCTCCAAAGACAATCTTATTTCTCCTGCCCAAGGAGTATTACCCTACACGTTTTCTCCTTTCTAGGTGCGTGCTATCCAGTAGGCTCTCATCATGTTGTTGTTAGGTGCTATCGAGTCGGTTATAACACATAGCAACCCCACGCACAACTGAACGGAAACACTGCACAGTCCTATGTCATCCGATTCATAGCAACCACTATACAGAACAGAATATAACAGTGCCTGGATGAGCAAGTCTCAGAATCATGACTATGTTTGAGCCTATTGCTGCAGCTACCATGTCAATCTATGCATTTCTACTTAGGAACTTTTAATTTTTCTATGCAGATTATAGAGGAATCCACTTGACAACCACATGGGTCCTTATTTTGAGAAACAAAAGAAAAAGAATGAGGAGGAACAGGAAATTCAGGTAATCACCAATGTACAGGGGCTTATCATTTAAATGGGTACATAAACAGAGATGATTTCTAATTAACAGCTGCATATATTGAAAAGTGAACAACATCGACCCAGTTGTACTGCTTTTTAAACATCAAGCTGAGATAACTAAATGATGTCTTACTATATTTATATATATATTGGCATTTCCCAAATAAAGCAGCTTTTGAACTATTAAGTCTTGAAGTAGACTTGTATGTTTAATTTGGACAAATATTTTAATTACATTTGAACACGAGACAAACATTTTCATTAAAAAAGTACATGGCAAATTATAAAAGCAAAAAAAATTAATGTAATCGCACTCAATGTACCATTTCAAACATATAAATAATAGTTGTCTACAGTAAGATTAATGAAAATTAACAAAGTATCAAATCTTAGTTATAAAACTTCATATGCATATCATGTAATAAATCTAAGATTTTAAATATGGGTCTTTTCAGTAGATCAATGTAGTTGAACAGCCACAACCAGTATATCCACAGTTAACTATACTATCCTACACAAAGTCTTTAAGTTAACCAAGTCACTTTACTAAACTATGGAACTGGCAGTCAGAACATGTTCAATTTTTTTTCATAAGAATAAGATGGTGATGATCATCATCCCGATAAAATACTTCATAGCCATAAAAAATTCATTTTCAAAAAGTATTTTTAATTACCAGGGGTATTACAGCATGTTATTAGAAGAAAAGATACAAAATATTAAATACATAATATGATCCAAATTATTAACATATTATGCCTAAAGAGATTAAAAATGCATAATGCAGAAGTAGGGAGGGAAAAGTTGGATCAAAACCAAAATGTTCCAAATGTGTTTTTTTAATAGGTAATAAATGGCTTAGGTTTTTTCCTTTATATGTTTATTATATTCCAAACCCATTACAATTTCACATTTAAGAGAATACTATTTTTAATAGAATGAGATGGTAAATTCTTTATACAAAACTGACTGTCCACAGATAAACAGTATCAGGAGATTCCTCCGAATTCAACTTTCAATAAATTTCTTATGAAAAGATCTATAGTTGTACAACTGAGCCAAGCAGAGTTCTAATGTCACTTAAAACATTTTCAGCTGTTGATTGTTTTAGCCCTTTAAACAAATTCTTGTAGAGCTCATACTAACTGTTAATTAAATGCCAGTAAAAATACACAGCCCAGTCCTGAAGCTTACTTTGCCACCTAAGTAAAAGCTCCAATTTGTATTTTCTAAATCACATTTAGAATTTGGCAAATACAGTTAAATAGGCAGGTAAAACATGCCTGTTTATAGTGTAAATACAATTTAATTAAAGCATAGATCACTTAAAAGTTAAAACATGTTTCCGTATGAAAAGTTTAGCAATGACTTTTGTAGTAGCATTAATCATTAAAGCTAGCCTTTATTTTTAAATGCTATGATGAGTTTATAAATAATGAAATTAAAAAAACAAGAAAATGAAGCTAACAAGATACAGATGAGGCTGTTACCAGGCTCCGTGCAAGTGAACAAGTGATGCGATAAACCTCCAGTCAGTGCGTTTAAGAAGCACGGGGTGCGCCGCCACATGGCAGCAACAATGGCATACCTAATCTGTAGCAGATGAAGAAAATTTGGCAAACTCACATTTTACAAGACACAAAGCTTAAAAGGAAAAAAAAGTTTTTTAAAGAAACAAAACAAAAAAAAACTGCATTAACTATTCTTTTTCAAACTATTGCAAGCAAAGTGGAACTCAACCTTAAATTTAATCTTCTGCAACAAAGTAAAATTAAAGAGGCCTACTTCTCTTATTTCAGGTGCCAGAAAAATCAAATTACCATTCTTGGAAATGCTTTCCCGATGATACTAAATTTTCTTTTCTTCTACAAATTTAACATTTTCTGTCGTTTCTACAATTATTTACGGGAAATTCTACATTATTATCACTAATTAATAGCTTATATAGCACTATTATCTTGATAATACTTTTAATCATATATTTTTAACTTAGTTTAACTGGGAAGGCAATGTGAATGCTCCCTGAAACTGCATACAAAATTGTATGTGTATGTGCATTTTATTGCTATACATATACTGTATATCTCTGTTATATTAATGAAACCTACAACACTGGTACAAGTCTGTTCAAATATCAATGTAGCTATTAATTTTTAAAGTACACTAACACTGAAAAAATTAACTTACTAGATACACTTACATGATCTATTTGTCAGAAATCATTTATTTTGTTGTTTTCAGGAGAAAAAAAATCTTTCAGTAGAAAAATATATAATTAATATGACCAAAAATCCACTGCCGCTGACTCAACACCAACTCAAGGCAACCCTATAAGGCAGAGTAGAACTGCTCCCTAAGATTTTGGAAGTTGTAAATCTCTATGGGAACCTAGCCTCCTATTCTCCCTCGAAGTAGCTGGTAGATTCAAAATGCTAACCTTGAAATTAGTAGTCCAATCCATGTAAGAACCTGAAAAATCTTTCCATCTCCCTCTGCTAGGTCAACAATGTTATACAGAGTGGAAAGAGAATGATGAGGATAAAGATACTATAATTATACTACTGTTAGTAAAACACTTTCTCTCTTGCAAAGAATATTCATGAACTGTGTTATGCTCTGTGTTAGTCTCCACTGGCTGAATTTTTGGAAGTAGATAACCAAGCTTTCTTATGAAGCATCTCTAGGTAGGCTCAAATTTCCAACTTTCCAACTAGCAACCAAGTGTATTTGTTCTATGTACCACCCAGGAACTCCTATACAGAAAAAGGCCTTCACCACAGCACTCATCATGCTAAATAGAGGCATTTATTTAATGATTTGATTTCTCTACTACATGGTACATGGCTTCTAAAGAGGCTTTCACTCTTTCATTAGACAATCCCTCATACATGGGAAATCTTCAAATACCAGTGAAATAACTGAAGTTTCTGCAAAGAATACTGAGATATAATCACAACAGACATGCCCAAAAGGAGGCGGTAAAATAAGCACGAAATATTCAATAAAGTGTGACATTTTTCACATACTTCACGTATTTGTTGAACATTCAGTGGGAATGGATGCCTGGGCATAGAAAACCTAAATTAGCTAATTCTATATGCTACTATTTTAGTAACTTCCTTATTAGTGATGATATTAATTTATCAAAAAATTAGTTTGTACAGTTCGTTTAGATGTTCTATAAAGGAACCCTGGTGGCGTAGTGGGTTATACTTTGGGAAGCTAACTGGTAGGTCAGCAGTTCGACACCAGCTGCTCGGAGGGAGAAAAACCATTACTCCCATAGAGATTAACAGGTGTGGAAAACCACAGGGGATGTTATGAATCAGAATTCACTCGACAATGGTAGTAAGTTTGGCTTTAGAATCGTAGCTTTTATTACCTGATTTAGCTACTAACTTATTTTATGCTAAATAGTAATATGAAAAACAAGTTAAAATAGGGTTAAGATTATCTTCCATAAAAATTCCATCCTGGAAAAATGTAGCTTACCAAATTTAAAGATTAATTTGTTTAATTTTAAAATCTAACAAACCATTGACTATAAATAAGTCATTAAAATATTAATAAAACAACCACAAATACATAAGTGCCTTTTATGAATAATGAGTAGATAAGATATAGAACCAATCAAGGAATTAAAACTGGTGACTAGATACTATTTTTAATGAATAAAATTCTTGAAAAAAGTCTGGTTATTAATTCCCTGAAAAAGCTTTTCTTTCTTTCTGACTGGAATTTCCTTAAAGAGCTGTAAATCAGCCTCTTGTATTTTGTTTACCAAAAAGAGAAAAAAAAATCAATAATTTCCATTACTGAAATTTAAAGTTATATATTAGATACTTATATGAGCTTTTCATGAAGGAATGGGGAAAGTTAATGAAACAGCCACTAAAAATAATTAGACCAATAAACATTCTGACAAAGGACGAAGACATGAAACAACAATTTCAAAAGCTTTAGCAATTGTGTCTGACACGTCAGCAGTTAAAAGATTAGCAAAACTGAAATATTTAATCTGGGATATGTTAGTCAATAAGCAATATCACAATTCACTCTACTTAGTATATGTTTCTTATTAAGTATTCATTGATGAATTTAAAAGGTGACTGGAAAGTTTTATCTTACAGCTCTGGTGCACTGCTTTAGTTTTTCTTTTTGCAGCATCAAATTCTAACATGATAATATTAAATATTCTTTTCTTACCTTTTTAAGATGTCATTTCATGGAAGACAAGGAATGGGCTGCTGTTTACCAACAACTGTCTAAATCCTGGCACTGACTAACTTTTCAAAACTCTTGACAGCTATCACGAACTTCAGAAAGGAAGCTTACTCTTTTCCCATAGTCATGCGTCCTGTCAACTGACATGGAGAGAGCAAGCAGAGGCAGGATTTCTTCCTGTGATGGCTACCAGTCCCAGCAGCATTCCCAGGTAAAAATGCCCATAAACTGCAGAGTGCTCATAAAATATTTGTCCATGTATATAAGAAAGTAAGAGAACATGGTATGTGACTATGTATACATGTATACATACACACATAAATTTCTTAAATTTTAAGCTAGTCACTTAAGTTACCCTTAAAATACAAACTATAATTAAGTTGCATTTAAAGATATCCTGAACTGTCTTCCCATAGCTAATGATCCATTAATTCCACTAATCAGAGAACAAAGCATATAGTAACCATTTTTCATAGTCAGAAATATTTTAAACAAGCATATTCTATAATTATTATACAGAAGTTGGCAAACTGTCCTGAATAAGACATATTTTAGCCTTGTCACCTGTTTTTATAAATAACTATCAATACATGCTTTAACTTTTTTACTTATGCATTGACTATGTCAGTTTTCATGCTGCAACACTGTTAAGTAGTTGGAATATACTATAATATAGCTCATGCAGTCCAAAATACATACTGTCTGTCCCTTGACAAAAAGTTTGCCAAATTGTCATATTCTATAATAGCTTCAATTGATGTGGACTAAGTAAGAGCCTAGCCCAATACACTTTATAAAAGTGATCTTAAATGTTCTCAGCATCTACGGAAAGCACATTATCGCTAACCCTAACATAAAGAAAACTGAAGTTCTATACTAACAACAGTACTCAAATTTAGTATACATAAGAATTGCCTATTCAAATTCTTAAGCTCGTCTATAGAAATTCTTCATATTGATCTAAGACCCAAAATTCTACAGTATGGCCAGCTACCTTGGAGACTCTGATGTAGACAATCAAGGGTCAAATAAAAATATTTATAAAGATATAAAATGCCTTGTCTAATACTACTTACCTCTGTAAGTGGCTGACAGATATTTGGATCCAGGTGAGGCTGGTTCCAAATCTGCACTCTTGTAACTTCTCTTGATTATAACTAAGCATTAATACGTCTGCTTTTAAGAGTCACTTAGAGATTTTTAATCTATTTATTTCACATAATTTTTTTATTAAAGTTAAAAAACATATGGAGAGACCTCAAGATGATATGTAATAACTCCATAAAATTCACCTAATATTTGTATTTTTGTGGAATTAAAGGTTTGTGACATACTAAGATACATATTATGCTTGATGATAGGAAAGCAAATCCCTTGGCCCTCCTCATCTTTATACATGTATCTCATAAATGTGAAAAACTGATAGTCTCAAGTTCAAGTAAAATTAATGATTTAAAAAGAAATAATTAAACACTTATGAATGAATATATTATGCAGGTTAATCATTTATCATCTGTGAAATGTCAATATCTAATTATTCAGAGCCTACTTTTGGAATGCTATGTAACAAAGTAACCAGTTAAGAAAGTAAAGAACTTTGTAGTATTATCTCTCAAGAAGCCCTGGTGGCCTCTCGGTTATACAATGGGCTGCCACCACCAGTCACTCCTAGGAGAAAGTTTGGGCTTTCAACTTCCATAAAGAGTCAACAGTCTCAGAAACTCAGAGGCAGTTCTACCTTGTCCTCTAGGTTGGCATCAATTCAATGGTAGCGAGTATTATCTCTCCATTTTCTTAATTTTAAAGATTGTTGCCATAAAGTATTGTTATAATCAAAAATACAATTTTTGCCTATCGAATTACGAATTTTATAAAATTTACATATTTTTAAAGTATGAGGCATGGTATTTTCTACTTATAAGATTCTTATAAAGCTTGCTGCTTGTATTATCTGAAAACCAGTAACTGCTAATTTTAAGGTATTTAATAGTAAAGACTAGAATAGGCAATTTGTCACCTTCATGAGTTTTAGAATTTACCTGAATAGTAATCCAGCTGTATTGCATTGTTTTAGTATCAATTACCCACACGGGAATGGAAGTTTAAAAAAAATACAAGATGCCACAGGTTGCACAGTAGCCTTCCTAACCAACACTAAAAACCATGGAGAAGGGGAGGGGGAAAAATAACAATAGAACATTCCACAACTAACACACAAACAAGGACAAGAAACAAATGGTAAAACATTGTCTTCTCTGAAAAGGGGTTGACTCTAAAAATATGGTTTCATTGAGCTATAAATTCATTCTATGTTAGGGGGAGTCAAACACAAAGGTACAACTCGGGAACTCTTGATAAATGAAACAAATTACAACCCTGAATTCCTAGAGCCAAAATGAAACAGATTTCATCTTAAAATATGGAAAATGTTTTAATTAGTGACCAGTAGTTAAGATATAGGTAACTGTTTAAATATACAATAATGTGTTATAATATCAAAGACAAAGTAATCTGATTTTTTTGGTCCTGTTTTTAAAAACTTTTATAAACAAGTTTGTTTTATGAAATGAATATGCAAAAGGAAATTATAAAATAAAATATGAAACATTAAAATTATATTCCAAAGAAAATAAGAGAGTCTCTTTGATCAACTTGCAGTTAAAAATAAAGCTGAGTGTCCACTTCAAATGTAAGATGAAGTCCCTCACTCAAAATTCCATTATATAAAACGTGTTATTAGGTCTCTTACTAAACTTTAAAAGCTAATACATTACTTTAACTAATGTTCTCACCTCACAATGGCATTGAGATTTGGTTACTAGTATATAGTGTAGTGCAGATATACTAATTCTATATACTAAATGGACATTACTACATTAAAGGATACCATCAAGCACTTAATGTTTAAGCGTGCACCTAAAGTTTGAAAAAAGAAAAATTATTCCTCACAAACACTTCAAGAAAATTCAAAAATAAAAATACAAGCTCAGTATACTTTAGAAATTAAGACTCTCTACTCCACATAAAATATCAAATATAAAGATCCCTTTGAGTCATAATTGACTCAACAGCAATGAGTATGAGTATAAAAAGATACCCAAATATATTTTTGAAAATACATATTTAAGTCTGCAACCCTTGACATTGCTCGTCTGGTGATTTTTCCCCCCCAATTAAAGACAACTATAAATATTAACAGCCTTAGTGTCAGAAAATTAATACTTAAAGATTAATGCCAACTTAAAATCTGATAAGAAAGGTCATAAAGAGTAATTTAGCTTAATATAATTAAGACTTCATTTAAATTCTTTGGCTTTTAGTATCTTCACAATAACACTTTCGATGTAAAATAGGCACTTCCAACTGTAACCACTATCATTGAAACTGGTTTCCCGTATAATAGTTTCATAGATTCACGCATACTTTTGCATTAATACTAATCCTTCAATCAAAATTATATTTTTAATAAAATTAGTATTGAAGGGCAACTATCATTTAGCAACCAAACCTCAAACCACTTTATCCAATATCATACAATCAAGTGTTTAGAATAATCACAAAATAATTCCAATAAAGAGTATCACATTACCACTGTCTACCTCAGAAAATATTAAGAACTACCATAATTTCTTGAATATCACTTTATAGATATAAATTTGAGCAGCTACAAAGAACAGTCCATTCTTATGTGGCTCTCTCCTTAGCATGAAAATGTCTAACAAATCAACATAGTACACAGATAATAGTAAATCTGGCCTAATATTGTCCTCCCTGTATTATGAGAAACGTCCTACATGTACAAAGCAGTGCAGTGTCAATTTATTTTTAATAATCCCCACTACAAGCAGGTTACATTCTATTCTTCTCATGAATAGAAGTAAATTTTAGTTTAATCTATAGAGTCACTTTATCATTTTACATTTAAAACTCTATCAGAAATCACAACCTATTTCTAATAAGCCAATTTTTAAAATGCATATACAGGAAAATATACTAATATATCAACACTACCGTAACTTTTATACCCTAAATTTTTTTTTAATTTTAAAGATTTTATTAATGCCTTTCATCTTTGCATTTGAGTTAAATCAAAGACCATTAAGAACATAAATCAATTTTACTTATTGATAAGGTCAAATACCTACCTTGTTTCTCATTGTAGATTATATTCTTACACAATAGGTCATTATGGCAAAGCACAACTGGTGAGCCCAGGTTGGAAAGCATCTCCTTCATCCAAGTCATCTCTTCTTGAAGAATCTGAGTACTTGGGATATCACTTAGGAACCTTTTCATTTTAAAAGAAGAGTTATATGCTGTTTATCTTACTGGCATGTTTTTCAAGTTTGAGTAAGGCTTAAATTTATTTTAAATTAACCCTGATTTAAAACAACAGGCCAATTATCCTAAAAGTTGAAACAAAGAAAATAATTTATATCAATCTAAACTTGAATGAGAAAAAAATTGAACAGCAGTTAAGGGTGAGCCATGAAAATATAAAATATATTTCTACAAAATTGGGGTGGGGGTGAGTATATACATATTGTTGACAACTAACTTTACTAAGCACTATTTTTTAATGTGCTTAGTAAAGGTCATACAGAGTAATTTTATATGTTACCATGGGTACACTGTATCTCCATTTTATACGGGAGAAAAGGCACAAAGAGCTAAGAAAAAAAAGGTTTAAGATATTATTTAAAATTATAAAGACAGGCCTTTAAAGACCCAACAATATTTATTTCAAGTTTAAAGGGCCGATGCAATGTAAACCAGTAAAATTCTTATCTAAATTTACATTCTGTCAATAACTGATAAATCAGTAGGCAGAATGACTCAATGGCTACAAGTTTGGCTTTTTTTTTTTTTAACATTATCTAGTTGTCATAAAGAAGTCCTGGTGGCATAGTGGTTACATGTTGGACTATGATCGACAAGGTCGGCAGTTCAAAACCAAGTGCCACTTTCCGCGGACTAAAGATAAAACTTTCTATATTCCCTATAAGAAGTTTGCATCTCGGAAACCCACACGGGGCGATCGGTCTACCCTGTCATATAGGGTCACTATGAGTCGGTCTTGGCTTGATAGCAGTGACCAAGTTGAGTTCCCATAAAAGGGCAGCCCTGGTAGCAAAGTGGTACACATTTGAGCTACTAATGGCCAGGTCAGCAGTGTGAAACCACCAGCCTCTCTGAGGGAGAAGGATGGAACTTTCTACTCCATAGTTTCCATCTCAGAAACCCACAGGGGAAGATGGGTTAGTTCTACCTTGTCATATGAGCTGGAATCAAGTCGATGGCAGTGGGATTTGCTTGCCTTTTGTTTTTTGTTCTGAGTTATCATAAAAACAAATTTAATACAGAAATAGCCTCAAGAATAATGTGATGTAGGAAAGGTGTGAAGGAAGAGTGGCAAATTAGCTTTTTGTACTAAACTCTTCTGTATTACTGTTACATTTCTATTAGATAAAAATAAAATGAAACAAATAGACTGCTACCATTAATTTCTCTTAGTACCACCAGACTATAAAATTGCTTTTGGCTGACTGTTTTTCTTCTTCACCAAATATTTTTATAAGTAAAGATCTCTCAGGTCTTCCTTCATAGCTTTTCCAAAATTATTCCTTATTCCAATACTTAAATCTGCATCCTTTTTACATTGCTGAAGTAATTTGACTCTTAGGGTTTTTTACCAATATTTTTCCGACTGTTACAACCTTTCTTCTGCTACAGTATTTCATACTACATAGCTACATATTCTCTTTTCAAAATGGTATACTCTGTTCAAGAACCACTCAATAAAAAGAAGTGTGGACAAAAGGGATGATAAATCCAGGGTACAGTATATTACTGATGAACCATATAATGATCATCTAGTTCTTTAATATTTCCTCCCCTTACTATTAGAGTTTTTATCTGTTTTACCTCATTAATCATGTTATATTTATATATATTCAATTGTATATTTAAGATAATTCAGTACATGAAAGCAATAGTAATAGGAGTAATGGTTCTCTGAGGGTAAAGAGGTGGGCAATAAGGAGCGGATAGCTTTGATGACTGTATAACTCACTCAATGGGATGGAACAACAAAATTGTTATGTGAGAGGATATATTGCATTGTGCAAGATATGGAAAAAAACTATTACAGGGAAAAATTAATAAGGGTTCCTGTGGAGGTAGAATAGTGGAGGGAGGAGATAAAGGGAGCTGATAGCAAGGTGTTCAAGAAGAAAGAAAATGTAAAACTGATTGTGGTAGCACTTGTATAATACTGCTCTTCATGTGACTGAACTATGGAATGTTATGACATCTGTAAGAGCTCCCAATAAAATGATAAATTTTTTAAAAAGAGAGCCAGAAGTGTGGAATGGAGTAGTATTCAGAGGATTATGATCATAATTAAAATCTATGTAAAAGCACAAACAAGAAAAAAATATATAAATATTTCTAGTTGTATGCTGCGGGGGCATTAGGGTGTTCTTCCTGTTGTTTACTACAGTGTATCAACAGCTATTCCAAAGTTCCACCAACTTCAAGGATTTAACCTGAAGATACCTAAGTAACCTTCTTCAGAGGATAATGATAAAAGCTAATGTTTATTTGACCAGATACTGCTCTAAGTACTTTATATGCCCTAACTCAATTAACCTTCACACAAAAACTCTCTAACTGATGTTACTTAGTTATTTCCACTTTATACATAAGGCAACAAAGGATAAATAACTTGCCCAAGGTTACATAGTTAAACTACTAATTCACTGAATTGTAATTTCATACAAAACAATCTGTACCAAACCTTGTGCTCTTAATCCATGTAATATTATTTTATAAACAATCCCTTTGGCATCGGGTCCATTTTGACTCATACTGCCTGTAAATCCTGATATTTGTAAAAAAAAACAAAAACTTTAAAAATATCTCACTGAAAATCAACATTTGTTTTAATACTCTTAAGTGTTTCTCCCAAAAATCTTCAATAAAATATCTATTTCAAAATAGCATTCCCTGTTTTATATTGTATGTAGTATCTTGAATGTTAAACACACTAGACATACCTCCAGAATGGACAACCAGTTTGAAGTGTATAATTAACTTTCTAGTGGTCAATGTTTGACAAGCTGACTTTAAATACAAACACATGCAGAGTAAAGCCAACTAATCTTTGAAATAATCAAATTCAATGCAGCAATAGTGGTATTTTCCCTTGCTGCATTGCAATGAGAAACAAGAAAAAGAAAATGTACACTCCTTGTTTCTGTCTGCTCTTGAAAGAGTTCCTGAATAGGAAGATCTAACCTTTAAGAATGCTTTAGCTATAAAAAGCAAAATAGGATTTCCAATTTGAGAATTAATTATTTATCACATAATTATTTAGAATCTGAAGACTAATCTCCAAGTTTTTACATAGAATACAATAAAATGCCTTAATCAATCTGAACCCGCGAGTCAGTTTACAAAAGCTGGACAAGACTCCACTAATTACATTTTCAACTTCAAGATCTAGTAAATGAGGCTCAAATTATTTCATACCCCGATACTGATATAATGTCTTAATGTTGATCTTTGAGCCCAGTCAAAATAGCTCTGGATGGGGGGAGAGACCTATATGACAAATTTATACCATTCACGAATGTGCTCATTTATAGAGGTATTTAAACCACCTTACTTTCAAAAATGTTCCTTTTTTAGAAAATAGATATATTTTATTTTCAAATTTATTATTAATTGGGAGTTAATACATATATCATTCCATGGTTATGCATGTCAAGCAGCATTGTACAATTGCTACCACAATCAGTTTCCAAACTATAGATATAATCGGATTACAGAGTCATTGCTATTTTACTGTTTTTTCAAATCATTTTATTGGAGGCTCATACAATTCTTATCACAATCCATACAAATCATCCATTGTGTCACGCACATTTGTACATATGTTGCCATCATCATTCTCAAAACATTTGCTTTCTGCTTGAGCCCTTGGTATCAGCTCCTCATTTTTTCCCCTCCCTCCCCATTCCCCCTGACCTCATGAACCCTTGATAATTTACAAATTATTATCATTTTGTCATATCTTACACTGTCTGACATCTCCCTTCTCAAAAATGTTCTATACATGTTTGTTGCCTCAACTGATTCTTTTTAATGTTTTGGTGTGCTTCTGGGTTTTTTTATCAAGGGTTGAGGTGAAAGTAAAAAAAAAATCAATATTTACTGCACTTCAGACAAATAAGTAAACTAAGGCAAATTTTATATATAGAATCCTTGTCATTGTTTTTTGGAAAAGCCATGTAGAAAATAGTTTCAAACGTAAAACTAATTTTACCTTTTATTAATGTCTTCATCTGCAAATCCTGTAGGAATGAGAGAGAAATATTTTCCCATCTTTAGCCATAGATTAGATTTGGGGATCCAACCGTTATGTGCATGTATTGCATGAATTTTAGCAAGCTGACGAGCTATTAGCCTGTTTAAAAACAAAACAACGCAAAGAGTTAAGCATTTTTAAATTCATGTCTACCCAAAGAGACTGAATGTATCTACAGTGCACTTATTTTATGTGAAATGGTTTAATTTTTATTATCCCATCGTAGCTTGTGTTGGGCTGCTAACCATAGGTCAGTGGTTAAAAATCACTAGCTGCTCCACAGGTATAAAATGAGGCTTTCTACTCCTATAAAAGTTTACGTCATCGGAAATACAAGAGGCAGTTTTATTTGGCCCTGTAGAATCTCTAATTTGAGTGTCATGATATTCAGAATAAGTTGACAAGTCAATTCTCACAAAGCGAGACAAATAAATGAAACATTAGTGACTATAAACCTACAGCTAACATCACAAACAAATATTGTGTCTACAAGGTGTTGTGAGTCTAGAATTAGGTGGCCTACTTGATTAACAAACAATGTTTGAGACTAGCAAAATAATACACAATTATAAAGTAATTTTAAGGCATATTCAAAACATATTAAAAATCAAAATGATTTGGCCCAAAAGGTTTGAGCTTGACTAACTAATCTAAAGTTGGTGATTCAAACCCACCCAGTAGTGTCAAAGGTGGCCTGCAGATTTGCTTCCATAAAGGTTACAGCCAAAACAGCTGTGTGGAGCAGTTCTCTCTCACACAGTATCATAAGTTGGAATTATTATCACTGAAGTTAAAGGACTAAAGTGGAAAGAAAATTAGGCAGACTAATTTCCTGAACAAATTTTAGGACTTGATATCAGAATCACAATCATCTTGAAACCAAAAACGCTTGCGACTCTATGTACTGTGCTCACTGCCATCTTTGGTCTCTAAACAATCAAATTGAAGAAGCGTCCAAAAATATATTTACAAAACACATTACAGAAACTCAGCAAGATATTAACAACAGTAATTCTCAAACTGAAGAATTGAATACTACCTAGTCCCTAGCTCATGATGGAATTCCATTCTGACATAAGAGTTCTGATATAAATCATCTATTGTTTTTGTCTAAGTTTTCATACTTTTAATTTTCACCTTATTTATACATCTGATATTTGAACGCAAGTGAGTGAACATCTAATAATATCAGTGAACTATATGCTCTATAATACTGATGTAGTACATCTTACTGATGATACAAGGTGAAACAAAAAAAATTAAGACAGTCCTAAGTGCAGAAATGATGAAGCACAAGTCAAATGGATTTGGCTCAAAGCAAAATATTATCAAAAAGATGTGTGTGTTTTATTGACTATACCAAGTACTTGACTGTGTGGATCATGACAAACTGTAGATGGCCTTGAAAAGAAAAGGATTCCAGAACACTTCACTGTGCTCACGCAGAACTTCCACATGGACCAAGAGGCAGTGGTTCGAACAAAACAAGAGGAAAAGTTGTGGTTCAAGGTTGTATCATCCCAACACACACATTCAATCAGAGCAAGTCATCAGAGAAGCTGGATTACATGAAGAAGAATGTGGCATCAAGACTAGAAGAAGGCCTATTAACAACCTGCAATATTAAGATGACAAGTTATCAAAATTGCAAGCATCTATTTATGTAAATTATTGATCTACAGCTTTTCTCAAATACCATGTGTCTAAAAAAATTTTTAATTAAAAAATCAGAAAAAGGAAATCTATTTTCCCACTTCTCACACATACACATAGAAAGTCCCAAGCATGCATGCATTCATGCATACACACACACACACACACACACACACACACACACACACACACACACGAAGTTACAAGCATATGAACATAAACTACGAAGGACCAGGTAACTTCATGAAAGAGCGAGGAGGACTTGAAGCACTTGCTGAAGCAGATCAAAGATTGCAGGCTTCAGTACGGATTGCAATTTGTTTTGGAAAAAAAAGAAGAAAAAAAACCCTCACAACTGAATCAATGTAACCTCATGATAAATGGAGAAAAGACTGAAGATATTAAGGATTTCATCTACTTGGATCCACTAATCAATGCTCACAGAGGTAGCAGTCAAGACATCAAACTACACATTGCACTGGGTAAGTCTGCTGTGCAAGACCTCTCTAAAATATTGAAAAGCAAGGAGACCCAAATCATGGTATTTTCAATCACCTTTTATACATGTCAAAGTTGGACATTAAGTAAGGAAGACTATAGAACAATCCATGTATTAGAAGTATGGGGCTGGTGAAAACAAAGTATTATACAATGCATTTGAATTTGGTACTGGCAAAGAATATTTTAGGTACCATGGAATGCCAGAAGTACAGCCAATGCTCCTTAGCAGCAACGATGGCAAGACTTCATTTCACAAACTTTGGACATATTATCAGGAGAGACCTGTCCTTGGAAAAGGACATCATGATTGGTAAAGTGGAGGGGAGATGAAAAACAGGAGGACCCTTAGCAAGACAAACTGACACAAGAGATGCCAATGATGGGCTCAAACATAACAAATGTGAGGACGAAGCAGAAGCAAGCAGTGTTTCATACTGTTGTACATAGGGCCTCGGTGAGTAGGAACCCGCTCAATGGCACCTAACAACAAGTACAGTTCTATCGTATATATCGATATACGTAACATACATCATATTTATATGGCATAAGCCAAAGACTACTGCACTGGCAAAATGCTTAATAATCCAATGTAATACTACCTAAAGATATTCCTAAAATCTGCAGCATCAGTATCACCTAAGAATGTTTTAGAAATGGAAATTCTCAGGTCCCACTTCAGATCTACTCAATCTGAATCTCCAGCATTCTGCATTTTAACAAGCTCTCCAGGTTATGTATTATCCTGAGAAGCACTGATTTAAATTTCACTATGGACAGAAATCAATCTTGGACACTGCACCCCCCCCTCACAAAAAAACAACAACACAGAGGCCTGCCTATGACCCTCAAAAAGTTGTTTTTAATTGGTGCAGCAAAGGCACTTGAAATATTTAAACTCAGATAATTTTAATATGCAAAATCATTTGAGAACTAGACGGCACATAGGGACCTTAGCATTGTAGTGAACTTCAAAAAAAATTTGAGAAACACTCAACTAAAGCACAGAAAGACTAGCATCGTAGTTATTCTTCACCAACCTTACTTATGTGGCAGTCTTATTTTTTGAACAATAGTAAATATTCTTTCTTTTAAATCAGGCAGAGCTGATTTCAATTATATTCCTATTTCACTCCCGCCACTATATGTAGCCATTATGATAGAGTTACCCAAATTATTCTGTCCTTTAGTAACTGGTTTGGGAATATTACCAATATGAGGTCAATGAAACTCAAATGCATGACATTAGTTGAAGCTACTAACTTTGGTTGAAGCAAGCTATTGGTTTTCCTTCCTTTCTCACGGAAGTGGTTAAACTAGTTAACCAAGTCCAAAACTGCTGATAGATGTTATTGCCACTCTTAAGGAAATTCTGCCCAAAACTAAAGCTCACACAGAAGAAATATATACTTATGGCACTGGTGCAGCCCCTGGATCTATCTGTGATTGATCTTTAAGTATTCTCCATGTTAGATAACAATAAATTTGTTCTCAAATAAATCAATTTGAATTTCCAAATCCTGACTACTAATCAAAATTGCTTCGTGGATGGTTTGGTCCAGTTTAGTCTATACCTCTTAAACAAACATGAAAAAGCAAACAACTATATAAATTAATTTTTGTATCACTGCCCTTTCCAAAAACCACATATTCATGTCTACAAAAATACTCCCCAAATGCTACTTTTTCATCACTCTCATTCATTCATATAAGGAAGTTACAAGCATATGAACATATAATGCCAAGCAACAGGTTAACATCAAGAAAAAAACAAGCGAGAGCAAAATCAAAACAAAGGTGAGTGTAAATGCAAGCAGAAGAGTACGAATTGTTTTTAAAGCTTTCAAAAGCAGGGAGAAATATAATCTGTATTACATAACACTCAAGGGATCGCTCTGTAAAAAGAACACTGTATCTCAGAATATTTACTCAACAAATCCAACAGGTGATTCAAGAAAAGAGATCCATATAAGAACTAGTTTTATGTGATGATTTTTTTTTAATAAATAAAACATTTCTTTTCATTTTCACTCCATGCTTCTAGGACCTGATTTGTTAAACATGAAACACATACACCACCACCACCACCACCACCCCCAAAAAAATCAAACTCACTGCCATCAAGTTGATGTTGACTTGTAACCACCCTGTAGGACAGGGTAGAATTGTTATGGTGGATTTCTGAGACCGCAACTCTCTATAGAAGTAAAAAGTCCCATCTTTCTCCCAAAACATACAAGGGTATGTCAAAAAGTTAAACCAACTGACTTTATTGTTGGTCCCCTAAGACTATGGTCCTAAACCTCATTACCTGATGGTTACGTCTAAGAACTTTTCATAACTCTACCTCCTGTATGTTCCACAACATTCACAGATATATTTGCAACAAAAGGAAATATCTATGTAAAATATTTTCTGTCAAACCTACATCCTACTTTGGTGAATAGAGACTGTGGTCTGGAAAGATTCAAGAATTAAAAGAAACAGAAGTAGATACTGTATATATTAGTAGAGACTGTGTATATATAGATAATAGTATATATTAGCAATCCTGCAGTTATAGTGATCCATGAGCAGGATGCATGGATAGACACAACAACTGAATGGACTCCGGAGAGTGGGAATATGCCACTTTATAGACATAGGGAACTGACAGAGGGTGTTTGAACCTGGACATTTACTTGACTGTGTTGCAAATATATCCCTCAATGTGGTAGAGCAAACAGAAGAAAAAAATTCTTAGCTATAACCAAAACCCTTGAGGGAATGAGTCCCTCGCCTGGAAGCTCAAGTACGTAATCTTGGGAGGTATGGAGATCAATTGGCATAACATAGTTCCAAAAAATCCGCATCCTGCTTTGGTGAGTAGCAACTGGAGTGCTGAAAGTTTGCAAGTGGCCATCAAAAATGCAATTATTGGTTTTCCCTGTCCAGAGGAAAGATGAGTA